GTTGTCAAATACTTCTGACTTATCCTTCAAGAAATAAACCCATATTTTTCTGGAATAATCATCAATAAAGAGGAGAAAGTATTTATTCTTACCAAACGAGTTGGGTTTGATTGGTCCACAGACATCCGTGTGTATGAGCTCTAGTGGCTTTGTCGCTCTTGACGTTGATTCCTTTGGAAAACTTTTTCGGAATTGCTTCCCAATTAGACATCCTTCATAGAGTTGGTCTGGGTGGTTGATCCTAGGCAAGCCTCTAACCATCTCTTTCTTCGACAAACGTTCTAGACCATCGAAGTTGAGGTGCCCGAATCGTAGATGTCATAGCCATAAAGAATCGGTATAGCAAGCCTTGAGACACTTTGCTATGTCATTTTGAATGTTCAAGAGGAACATTCTATTTTTTGACATAGGCACCTTAGCAATCAAGTTATGACTACAATCTCTTAAGAAAAGACTATGTTATTTTAAGTGGATGTCATAGACTTTCTCTAATAATTGTCCCAAACTCAAAATATTATTCTTCATGTTAGGCACATAATAGACATTGGATATGAATTGATGACTCCCATTCTTCAAGCGTATGAGAATTTTACCTTTGCCTTTGACCGATATCCTTGAGTCATCTCCAAATGATACATCACCAATTGTCGCTTCATTGATCTCTACGAACATGCTTCGATCTCCACACATGTGGTTGCTTACGCCAGCGTCCAAGTACCACTTATTTCTTTTCTCTTCAACTTTGTTTTGACACGCGAGTAGCAAAGTTTCTTCTTCTCCATCTTTTTCTTCTACAAAATTAGCTTTCTCTTCCACCTTCTTCGAGAATCTACACTCGGTTGCGTAATGACCAATCTTGTTGCAGTTGAAACATTTGACTTGTGATTTATTGCTCCTCGACCATGAGGTTCCTCTTCCACGACCTCTTGTTGCTTGTGGATTCCAACTTCTTTCTCCATTGTTGAAGTTGTTGGAGTAGTTATTGCAACCACTTCTTCCTTCTCCTCCATGTCCTCGTCCACGTCCACGATATTGGCCACGACCTCGTCCTCTTTGGCTCTTGTAATCCGTATAGTTTTCTTCCTTTATGTTGAGTTGTAGTAATTGCTCCATAGCCTCCTTTTGTTTAATTTTTCTCTTTTGTTTTTCTTCGTATGCTTGTAAGGAACCCATGAGTTGCTCAATAGTCATGGTCTTTAGATCCTTATTTTCTTCAATGTTGGTAACAATGAAGTCAAAACTTGAATTTAAAGTGCGGAGTATTTTCTCCATGACTTTCACATCATCAACATCTTCACCATTTCTCTTAAGTTGATTGACTAGAGCTAATACTCGAGAAAAATAATCTGAAATTGACTCGGACTCTTTCATAAATAAACGTTCAAAGTCACCTCTAAGAGTTTGAAGACGAATCTTTTTTACCTGCTCAACTCCTTTGTTGCAAGTTTGAAGCTTGTCCCATGCTTCTTTGGCCGTTGTTGCGTTGGATATCTTCTTAAACGTATCTTCATCCACCGATTGATAAATGAGAAAGAGAGCTTTCTTGTCTCTCTTTCTTGACTCCTTAAATGTCTCTCTTACACCTTGGCTTAGCGAGGATTCATCTTGATCCTTGAAGCCTTTCTCAACAATATCCCACACATCTTGAGCTCCTAGTAGCGCCTTCATCTTGATACTCCAATTATCATAGTTGTTCTTTGTGAGCATCGGCATTTGGAAAGGGAAACCACCATTCGTTATTTTGTGGATCTTGAAGCTCTGATGCCACTTTGTTGGAAATAAGACCTTTTATGTTAAGGAGAAGTGTGTGAAAATATTAAAGGTTTGAATATAAATTTGATAAGTAGGATAATTCTTTATGGAGGAGAAAAACTTTGTATTTTTGCTTGATGCAAATGTGTGAGATTACATCTCTATTTATAGTACTCTAAGAAGAACTCTAGACACACTAATTCTAGAGAGTTCTCAACTCTAGAGATCCAAAGACCATTCTAAAAAATATTACAATTATAAGAAATATCTAGAGATTCTATATATTACAAGAATTCTCTAAAAAATTATTTAAGTCCAAAATAACTAAGTACAAAAACTAATTGATAAATTTAAACTCAAATCAAGTTTAATATTTTTAACAACTCTCGCCTCAAAATAAACACCTCAAAACATAATTTTCCACCACCATAAATTTATCCAAAACTATCACAAACTCTTAAATCTCGTACCACCACAACCTACGTACGGGTGTCAGACATCTATACATTTATCGAGGGAAGTATATTATACGATTTTTTAAGAAATAATGGAGTAATTGTCTAAGGTTACTTTATAGGAGTAAATGTCATGTCTATTGCAATTCAATGCAGTGATTCTGTGGCAGCGGCACCCTGAACAAATTGCACCGCTGTGTCAATAATTAAAGCACGATGAGATGTAAGAATAGAGATTCGATAGACATGCACCGCAAAGAATGTCCACGTTTCATAAAGTCACATTCTTCGTGTCCACCATTGAACCTTCTCTCCAAATCTATAAATCACCACGTAGCAAAGCAATCTCCATTCTCCTCGTAACAAACTCACTTCACCTAACATGGAAAACCCAAATTCCTACTATTTCTCTCTTCTATCCATCTTGCTCCTCTTCACATGTGCCTGCTCAGCGCGCCAGTTACCACGAGAGCCAAGCGAGTTCTACGAGTGCCAACTCGATACCATCGATGCACGTGAACCCGACAACCGCTATGATTCCGAAGCTGGTTTCACCGAAACCTGGGATCCTACTCGCCCTGACCTACGTTGTGCCGGTGTCTCTGTTCTCAAACGCACTATCAATCCCAATGGCCTTCTTTTGCCATCTTACGTTGCATATCCTGAGCTCCATTTCGTAGAACAAGGTCAAGTTATATTCACTTCATTCACTAGTTAATTTAATATCCTTCCATGTATTTCTAATATCTGCATGCATGCATGCACAGGAATGGGAGTGTTGGGAATGGCGATTCCTGGTTGTGCTGAGACATATGAAGAGCCACAATGGGAAAGAAGTGGAAGGCCACAACTACAACAGGACCGTCACCAAAAGGTTCGTTACGTGAAACAGGGTGACCTTATCGCTATTCCACCTGGAGTTCCTTACTGGACTTACAATTACGGTAATACCCCGCTCGTTATCGTCAGTCTCCTCGACACTGCTAACAAACTTAACCAACTCGATCGTGTGCCCAGAGTAAGTAAATTATTCGCTTCACACATTAATATAATATGACTATATATTTTGATGATTAATTTGTTCTGTGGTGGCGATGGCGAGTGCAGAGATTCTATCTTGGTGGGAATCCAGAAATAAAACACTCCATAATTGGAAGAAAGCATGGTGAAGAAGTAGAAGATACTAACAACATGTTTAGTGGCTTTGATTCACGTTTCTTAGGTGAAGTTTTGAAAGTGAAAGAAAGTATAATTAGGAAGCTTCAATCTCCGGATGATGGACAAGGGAAGCACCAAATTATACATGTGAAAGGAGGTCTTAGTCTTATAAGACCACCGTTGGAACCAGAAATAAGATCAGAAGAAGAGAGAACTCACCGAAAGCGCGATGAAAAAGTAGTGGAGGAAGAAGAAGTGATTGAAGATGAGCCTGGTAAGCGAGAACGAGAACACTGTGAATGGCGAAAAGAGACAAGAAGATACAAAGAAGGTGAGCCTAAAGAAGAAGCTGAAGTGGTTGAAGAGAAAGAAACAAAAACAAAAGAGCATCGTCGTCATTATGGTGAAAGAGAAATAAGACATGGTGGTGAGAAAAGAGAAGAGGAAGAGAAAGAAGAGGTGGAGGAAGAGAAACAAAAAAGAACAAAAATTAAAGAACGCGAGGCGCAAAAAGGTAATTTCTTAGAGGAAACCGTTTGTACATTGAAGCTTCACGAGAACCTCGCTGATTCTTCACGCGCCGACGTATTCAACCCTAGAGCCGGTCGCATAACATCCGTCAATAGTTTGACTCTTCCGGTTCTCAAGTTGCTTCACCTTAGTGCCCAATGGGTTAAACTCTACAAGGTAATATTTAAATTAACCAGACATTTTAAATTTTGGTTAGTTGTTTTTTGTCGAGTTATACTGTGCAGAGACATCATTAGTTAGTTCTATGCAGGACGGTATATTTGTGCCGCACTGGAACATGAATGCGAACAGCGTGTTGTATGTGACCAAAGGGAGAGGAAGAGTTCAAGTGGTGAATAGCGAGGGAAAATCGGTGTTCAATGGAGAGGTGAAGAGGGGAAAATTGTTGGTGGTGCCACAGAATTTTGCTGTGGCTGAACAAGCAGGGAATGAGGGATTGGAATATGTAGTTTTTAAGACGAATGATAGAGCTGAGGTGAATACAATGGTAGGACGTGATTCTGCGATTAGTGCTACACCTGCTGAAGTTCTTGGTCATGTTTTTGGGCTCAGTCCACAGGAAGTGAATGAGCTTAAGAATAATCGTAATGAGGGTATTTTGGTTACTCCTGATTCTAGAATTCAGGATGGGTTCATAAAGATGGTGTAATGTAATCTTATGTTGTAACTTGTAAGTTGTTACTACTATGTATTATGTAAAATAAAAGAAGTACTTTGTGTAATAGAAGATATAATACGAATAAATTTTGGAGTTTTTTATGTCAATAACTATTAATTAAAAGTTCACATTCCTTCCCAATAGGTGGATGGAAGTTAAAATAGTTCATCGGTGGAAACTAGTTAATTAAAAATAATAAATTTAATTTTTTTTAGAAATCATATAAGTACTTTTTTCTTTTCGCCCATTTTGCTTAATTCTTTATCTTTTATTTTTGTCTTTTAAACTATTTAAGTAATTAAAAAAAAGGGGGAAATGAACAAATATATTAAAACATGTTTTTGTTTAGGAGGATTATAAGGTTTTCACTCATTAATAGGGACATTTGATAGGATTTGGATAAGGTGTTATAGATTCCGTCTCCACACCATAAACTCACCATTCACCTAACAACCTATCATCAAATTTTGAATATTTTCATCATCTTCTTCAACCCATTTACGATGGAAGGGTTTCGCGGTGGTAGGTTCTGGTTCTGAGAAGACATGTATGTTCAGAATCGTGTTTGGTTTCAGAAAGGGGAACAATATTAAGGTTTGTGTTGGAAAGAAAAAGAATGTTGTGATTTCAGTAAACCTTGCCTCTACCAAGTTGTTCATTCCTTCTGATGTTATTGCCAAGGATTTGAAGAAGAATGCTAAAAGGGTCACTGGTTTTTACCAAAAATAAAGATGTTTTGTTTTTTTTCATGTTGGTTTGAATCTGATTTGTAAACATGAGTTGCAATTATGGGTCTTTTGTTTTTTTGGTTAATTAATGTTTGTTTTATTTTGGAAATGATGTTTTTTTACTCCCAATTCTGGATGATTTTACTTTAAAGTTATATGGAGAAATGACTTCAATATATCTGAAGTTATTGCCTAGATAAAGTGTTAAAAGTGTTTCACGAAGATGTTGAAGTTAACTCTGAATTCGCATTTGGAGAAAACAAAAATTTAAGGAAAAAATGAAGATGATGATGAAAATATTAAATCATTTAGGGTCGTCAACTATATTGTCTAGCAACCAAAGTAATCTTGGTTCAACTTTAAATCTTAGTTAAGGCAAAACTTTAGAATTTTTTGAAATTTAGGAACGATGTCCCATTGTCATCTCATCTGGTCACGGACACTAACATAAATAAAAAGAAGAGACTCATATATATTTATTAAAAAGTTATAGGATCAATTAGACACGAAAAAAGAAAATTATAAGATCAATTAGACACGAAAAAAATTAAGAGTTCTATTTGATTTCAAGGATATAGTTAAGGGAAAAAAAAATATTTTTCCTATAATATATGATAGGACATATAAGGAGTTTTGAGAGTGATACAGATATAACATTTATGCTTAATACCGTTAAAAAAGTAGAAATAAATAGTAACATTTATGTTAAATTTATGAACCAGAAGTTCAATGTATTTCACAAAGTTTATAAAATTAATTTTCAGTTGCTAATACTCAAAAGTCAAATCAAATTAGATTTTTTTATTAGACAATATAATATTGCAAATAAATTGAAATCAAGCATGAAGTATGGTAGGAAAGTTGATTCCAATATTAAAAATCTTCTACAAGAAAAGGAGATAAAATAAAGATGACTCAAGTGAGGATACAAAAATTTTAAGAATATTTTGACATAATTTATTTTTTGAGTTCCATAAGAACTAACCAGGTATCTAAAGTTTATGAAAATAAAGAGATTTCAATAAGTTATGTCAAGAATAAAATACGATGGAACCACATTAAAGTCAATATTGACAGAGTCTTTGTATATAATTAGTGCTAAAGATGATAAATAATAATATGGATCATGAATCAAAGTATATCAAAGATTGTAAACAAAGTGAAAAATTATTCAAAATGAACCGATCCAATTGAAGAAGAATTAAACTCACTTTATAGATGACTTGCTTTTGGACATGTAGTTTGGACACCTCAAAGTATGAAACCAATTGGATATAAACAAGTTTTTGTGAAAAATCACAATAAGAATGGTGAAATTGTAAGATACAAAGCTTGATTTATTTCTCAATGATTTTCACAAGGACCTAAAATTTATTTTGATGAAACATATTCACTAGTAGTAGATGCAAGTAATTTTCGATAATTAATTAGCCTTGTAGCACATGAATAGCTTATTTTGAACATGATGGATATTCTAATAGCTTATATGTATAGTTCACTTGATAAGAACATTTACATGAAACTACCTGAAGATTTTAATATACTAGAGCTACATAGTTTTAAATCTCGAGAAAGCTAATCCCTCAAGTTGAAAAAGTATCTCCCACGAGTATGCCCAAGAGTCCAAGAAAGTCGAGGAAGAGAAGCCCATCCCCTGACGAAGACCTCATGCTCATTGCTATGTGCATCACCAGACCGGAAGATTTCTACATCCCGGGCCTGGAAGATATCCCCATGTACTTATCAAAACAAAGTCCCTGGGAAACGTTTCCATCTGCAATGTTATATCCAGTGAAGGGTTTAACAAATATACTGTGGGCTCGGTGAAGAGAAGATTCGAGAAACTAATGGACACTAGCTCCGACAAGAATGCCACCCTTGACAAGTTCAGAGGAAGATCTGCTCCCATCGCATTTTACCGGGAGGAACTGCCCGGAGGAGCTCCCAATTCCAGCATCCCCCTTCTCATACGAGCATGAATGGCCAATTTCAATATCAGGCACAATTCGATCGATCAAGGCAGCTCAGTTGATATCATGTACTCCCAGTTGTCCACCACCTTGCAGCTCAACAGGACTCATCTGACCCCTTACTTGGGCTCTGACCTCCAGGGATTCAACGGCTCTGTCACTAATCCACGGGGTTATGTCGAGCTGATTGTCTCATTAAGGGCAGCAGAGACGACCAGGTCCATTAAAATGCAATTCCTCATGGTAGACTGCCCATCATTGTATCAGTGCATTTTTTGGAGGCCTACTCTGGTGAAACTGATAGCGGTTCCCTCCACAGTGCACCTGAAGATAAAATACTACACCAACAAGGGACTCGTTGCCACCCTCCATGGGGACATATAGGTCGCGAGGAGATACTTTGAAGCAGGTGCAAAGGCTTTAAGTTCCATCAACATACAGCCTAGGACATCCAATAGACTTGCTATGCCCAATAGTTTTGAAGAGCCGAAGCCGCTGCCAGACTTTGACATTGTCGACCTCGACATCCGCTTCACAAAAGAAGATCTCAAAAAGTAGAAGAAGAAGGGGATAGAGCCCCTACTGTACGCGAAAAGCTCTTCCTCGTCAACATGTAACATAGAGCATGCACACCATGTACGCCAAATTTCGGACGGGGAGTTCAAAAGCATTCCCCTCAGTAGTGACCCTTCCAAAGGAGTGAGAATTAGCACCAATCTCCCCGACTTGGCGAAGATACAGCTGAAGGTGTGCCTAAGGGAAAATGTAGACTTGTTTGTTGTCCACGGATTTGATAAAGGCCACCATATAAACTTTCCAATAGGCATAATTGGTTCCATCAAGAATGGGTGGTCTGTTCATAAATCCTCCTTCCTTGTCCATTGAACCAGAAAGTATCTTCTCTGAATCTTACCTAGAGTCAGAGGAGGATGCCTGTTGTGATACCAATTAAAATTTTGGTATTCAGATCTCAGATGTCCTAAGAGATGTCTAGACACATTTCTCTGAACAAACACACAACGACAAGGTAAACGATAAACATAGTGCAAAAAAGTAAAGAACACACATGATTATTAACCCAGTTCGGTGTACAATAACACCTACTCTGGGTGCTACGAAGCCATGGACGAAATCAACTAGATAGTATAAATTTGAAGTTAAACTCCCGTGTTTATAATTTCTCACTTAATCATTACCTTTTCTTAACTTCTACCTAAGACTCGCCTAGGTATGAGACCCTTCTCAAATCCCTTCCAATCATAGAACATTGATTGAATAGTTCTAAACACTTATAAAATAACAGAAGTCACGCTTTAAAGACACACAATTATTCACTGTTTAAAATCTTTGGAATGACTGATAGAACTTGTAACTCAAAAACACGACCCTACTCTTTTATCAAGATGATAATCGAGAGGCTCATAATTAACACACAAATCCTAATAAAAATACACTGTAAGCTTCACACTTGTACTAGGGTTGAAGCCTTCTATTTATAACCTTCAATGGACTGGATTTGGGCTTCACATGTACAACTGGATATGAAAGAGGCGTTACAGAGTTGATAGGACATCAATCATTAGTTTCCTAAATCATCTCCATAATTAGAAACTAAGAATTCTCCTTGAAATCAGCTTGAATCTTTTTAATCTTCAAATTGTGTGCCACATAGGATAGCATAATATTTACATAATATTCTGCACATGTAACAAACTAAAATATCCAACAGTCCAGTTGTACAAAATCACGATGTCGAAAGAAACTGCGTAGGACATCGCATTCAACATGTCTCTCCAGTTGATAGAACATCTTATTTCAACATGTCTATGCTAAGTTATTTTTATCAAACATAATGGCAATCACAACAAATCAGATAATTAGCACTTTTTATGAAACCAAATCAAATTTTCTCTATTCCTAAAATAACCTTTCCTAGTTGCGCCTATATGAGAACTAAAATCATCCAGAATCTCATATTTTAAAATCAAATCTTCAAGGATTTAAACAACTGGACTATTTTGATGTTCTGGTATAACATGTCACAACATCTGTTAGAACATCTATCAAAAATAATAACAGTGAACTCTGATGTACCAGTTGGTTAAGATATCATGACATCTTGCTTAACATCTGGCTGTGATACATGTTTTCCAAATGAAACATGTTTTACCCAAATTATTGCCAATAACAAAATCGCAGACCTAAAAATATCCCCCTTTAGAAAATTTTGGCTAAAACAACCTTTGTACAACAATTCTGGAGAAGAGGAATAAAACCACAGACACAAAACATAAGCTACATGAAAACATGTAAAAATTTTACTAAATGCAAATAGAAAAATATATCAGATATACATTGCAGTTACAGAGAGTCCCAGCCTCACACACTTATCTTCTTCAAACTCTAGAAGTCATATGTCAAGACATGTGGTCTAACATCACGTCAACACAGCTTCAACATAGCACAAGATACTAGTAACAAAGTATTGTATTGAGCACCTTTAGACAAATCCATTACTCCCTCTATCACACATAACCAATACTCTCCCTCAAGGGAAAAACCAAATCACCAGACAAAAATGAACTACCCAAATTCACACATCAGAGGCACATGCAATAGAAGCAAAATAAGCCTCACAATAAATAGAGAGATCTAGACTAACCAGGGTTCTCCATAAAGCACATCAAGCAAGATGTCTGAACATCTGGTATAACATCATGCACACAAACACCACATCAGCGATAGCAGCAGTAGAAGCAATTATTTTCATCACCAACAAGCATGGAAAATTATCATGCTCCCCCTAAATAGTTGCATACAGCAAGAAACAACAATAGACTACTCTTCCCTTAGCAGTAGTGCAGTCCTATCACAATATTAATCAACACGTCAAAGACATGTGACATGACATCGGGACAAACAAAAATACACTAACACTTTACTCCCCTTTTTAGCCAAAATTGACAAAGTAAATGTAAAAACAAAATCGAAGCACACAATACATACTAGCATAAACATAGATGGAAGCACAAAATAGCAACGAAAACAAACAATCTCATATGGAAACACACACACACACTTGGTCATCTTCAAGAGGTCTTCAGCCTCTTCCCCTGTCAAAGATCCTCTTGTACCTCTTGTTGTTGCCACCAACTCTTCTATCTTGCAAAGATCTTTTGTTCCATCCTTCAACAATAGAAAATTTCTTAGGCTTTTCATGCCTCCGATAATAGAGAAAAGGTACAATATCTATTGCATTCCTCCATATATGTAATTTCTATAACTCCTCAATAGTGCAAGTTCCAAACCCACTGCTTATGTTCTCAAACTTTCCTTCAGCAAGATTCCTGATTAGTCAATTATGACTATCAAGGTTCTTATTCCATCCATGTTGAATGAGATATCTGATAGCATTCAGATATTCAAAATGTAATGTCATGGCATCTTGCTTGACATCATGTTTCTTCAACATTTGTCTCATCCATACTAGTTAAGAGCAACCTTTTCTCGTTTCACCATATTCAGCTTTAGAAGTGTTCCAGGAAGCACATGTTTTCTTCTTATTGAAACAGGAAATCAGACTGCTTCTCAGAGATAATCATCCATCAGTCCTACTAACCCACTTTGCCTTGCAGAATTCTTTCATGCTGAAAGAGTAAGGCACACCGCAACAACTTATTTCAATGATACATTTCAAGATTTTCTTTTCTTGAATAATAGGACTCATCCTTGGTTCAAGTTTAAAAACAAAACATGAATTTGATATTTTCTTAATTAATTTAATGATGTCTCCTTCATTAGGGTGTCTTATGATGATCTCCTTGAATTGTTCTGCCTGAACTCTAATAGAGAGACCTGAATTGACTTCAAAGTTATTTTGTTCAACAGTTGTGAATTCACATGTTGCTTCTTTTTCTGCCACATCAATATGCACATAGGATGTTCCAACATTGTCTTCAACATCCATCCTTTGTTCACTAATTGAATCATCAATTACCACAGTAATAGATTCCATTTCCATTCTAGTTTTGGAGTTAAAAACTCTATAAGATCTTCTGCTTGAAGAGTAACTCAGAAATATCCCTTCACCGCTTATGAGACCCTTCTTACTATTTTGATCTTTTTCAGTCAAGACATAACATTTACTTCCAAAGGTATGAAAGTATTTGATTGTAGGCTTCCTTCCTTTCCATATCTCATAGAGAGTGGTTAAAATACCTCCTCTCAAAGTGACCCTATTAGGAATGTAGTATGCAGTATTCATAGCTTCAGCCAAAAACTCCAATGGTAATTGCTTAGCATGAAGCATGACTCAAGCTGGTTCTTATATAGTCTCGGTCTTTTGCTCAACGATTCCATCTTGTTGAGAAGTGTTGCAAAAGGAGAATTCACGACTAATATCTTCAGAAGCACAAAATTCAGAGAATTTTACATTCTCAAACTCCTTGTCATGGTCACTTCTAACACCGATAATCACACTATTCTGCTCCTTTTAAATACTTTGACACAAATCTTTGAAGACTTCAAAGGTGTCTGGTTTTTCTCTAAGAAAGTTCACACATGTAAACCCATAAAAATCATCTATAACCACATAGACATACCTCTTTCCACCCAAACTTTCTTTCTGCATTGGTTCCATTAGATCCATATGAAGAAGTTCCAACACTTTGGAAGTAGTTTGATATTGCAACATTGGGTGTGACATCACGGTTTGCTTGCTAATTTCACACTCACCATAAACTTTTCTTTCCCTAACCTTGAGTTTAGGCATTCCTCTAATAGTTCCTTCAAATATGATTTCCTTCATTCTTTTGAGATGAATGTGTTTTTCGAATGAAGTAATCAAGAGATTTAAGGACAGTTGTCGACATTGGTAGCATTTTACAGTAGTTTAAGAATTGAAGATGCGTGGAAGCAAAGCAAAGGGAAAAAGCGAACGTAATAGTGTATGTGTCGAATGTTGGGAAATTGACAGTTGTTGACAATTATTGGTGCATAATATATAAGTAGTTTTAGTCTCTCTGACAAGGATTCGCAATTTTCACTATTGTTCTCTATAGAATTCAAACGTCCAAGTTACAGAGACAAATGAATTTTTGAGAGATATATGAATCTGCCTTCCACTTTTAAGTTAAGACTTTTATTCGATTGTTTTCATCACTGTCTTTCATTTACTTTATCTTTCAAACAATTCTGCGTTGTACTTCTTGAAATTTCTATCCAATTGTTCTATATTGAAATATTAAGTTATCAAGCATGAACACATTTTTTAAGGCTTTTACACAAATTGTCCTTAAATTTTTTTTTTCAAATTTAATCCCTTGAGTGAACGAAAAACTTGTGGTTTATTTACTAAAATACCGGTAAAGAAAAACAAAGGAAGACTTGTCACATTTTTCTAAAAATAGGTTTTAAATTGTTCTATATTTCTATTAACAAAATTTTCTAACTGTTTTTTTAAACAACTTTAACTAAAAAATTAATTTAAATAATTTTTGTAAAAATTATTTGAGTATTTCATCTATTTTTTTATGATTTTTTTAAATTGTAAAAATGGAAAAACTATTTTGAATAGTTTTTTATAAAAAATATTTTTTTTAAAAACAAAATATTTTTATTATATCAAATTAAAATTAATTTGAGGTATGAACTATCAATTTTCTATTGAAGTCATCGATGAAATAAGCAACTCGAAAGTTAAACAATCAAAAAATCTTCTCTCAAGCTAAATTCGAATATCTGTAGGACAATCTTGAGCATCATCTGAATATATGATCATTTACATTGTTAGAACATATTCTATAGACATTTGCGGAAACTTGTCGAATCAGTGGGATTTTGTTTTACACCACCTCTTCAAATCATTTAATTCAAAATAATTTCTATTTATAGGATTTACCTTTTCAATTTTATGCAAAATAATTTCTACTTTTTTTGGACAATCATAAAAATTATTTTAAAAAATATATAATTAAAATAACTGTTTTTTTAGTTAGAAGCCTTTGCATAGTTCAAAATTCAAATGTGCCAAAAAGAAATGTAGACATGAATTGGTTTTTCAAACATATACTAAAAACAAAAAGAACACGATAAGCTAGGCTGTAGGGGTAACTTTGTCCAAGTACAGTCACGTGTTCCAAAAAAAGTGAAGTCAAAGTATTCTGCAAGTGTAACGTTCCACATCTGACATAAACCAAGCACCAAGAAATCTCGAAAGTACCCTGCAAAATCAAACGTTAACCAAACGAGAATGAGTTGAAATCAAACTTCAGAAACCAGATGAAGAAGAAGAACGAGACAACAACAATGTCTTCCCTCTCAACCACAGTCTTCCCTCTTCTCTTTTGTCTCCTCTCATCATCAGTCTCATCTCAAGAAGATTCACACCGTTATCCAGGCTTCATCTTCACAAGAACCGGAGGAAGATGCAGTCCAGAGTTTTGGAGCGGTAGACAAGAGACATGGCCGAGAATGGTACCAGAGACATCAACGGTATCGAATGTGTTTGGATGGAGAGTGTGTAAACGGTATAGATCGGATCTTACGTTACTTGAAGCAACGAGTAGGAACGATGAAGGTGAAAACGCGTTTGGAGCTTTGTTGAAAGAGGGAACAGCTGCGTTGATAAATTCGTATGCGAGAGAAGGGTTTCCGTTTAGGTCATGGCAGGTTAAGACTTTGGTTATGCAAGGCTTTGTTTCTGAGGTTGCTGCTGCTTCTCAAGCCAAACGTTTCTCTTTGGCTAATCATGCTTGCTCCTGAATTATCCTAATATATTCATGTTCACTCTATTTTTTTATTACTAGTTTTCTTTGTTGTTCTTTTTTGGTACTGTATAGAATGGAAATGGAAATCACTACTCTGTGATGTTATTTCATGGAATGAAAATTAGTAATGAGTTTTTTTGAATTACTTCACCTCACTTTTCTGTTAATCTTTCATTTTCTTGTACATTTTTATGGATTTGGATTTGTTGTGGTCAGAAAATCCTGCAATCACGTGGTTGTGTGTTTGCAATGTTCTATTAAGATGGTGGGTTTTAATTTAAGATTAGTATTTTAAATGTATAAAGTAAGAATTAAATATGTTTTTTTGTTTATTCAATCAAGATCATTTTATTCCATCAAGATCAGACGGTAAAGAATGCCTTGATTGCGTGAAACTGAATTGCAGTAAATCTATATAGGGGGTGTTCAAATTCAATCCAATCCGAATAAAAAACCGAAAATCGATCCAAAAAATCGAAAACCACAAAAAACCGAAATTTATTGGATGTCATTTTATGAAAACCGATCGGTTTGGATCGGATTTCGGATTAATTTTTCAAAACCGATCCAAACCAAACCAAACTGCATACATATATTTATATTTATTTACTTTTTATTAGTATGATATGTTACATGAATTTATTATTAGGTGATAATAATTTTTTTAATATTAGTTATTAGTTTGGTATAATTTATTTATTTTTATTGTTTCAATCATAACCAACCACTCTCATTTTGTAATATTAACTTTTAATATACTATATGTTATATATCGTACAAAATCTATGATTTATTAGTAGTTTTATAATATTAATAAAAATATAATGTGTAATTTTGTTATCCAAAAACCGATCCAAATTAAACCGCATAAAGTTGGATCGGAATAGAATGGATTTTTTTAATATATCATTCAAAATCGAACCGAACCGCAAATAAATTTATCTTTGGATCGGATGATTTTTTATCTAAAAATCGATACAAACCAAACCGCAAACACCCCTAAATCCATATCCTATTTTTATGTGTTGCAAACATGGGTGGAGTCTAGCCCTGATACAAAACAAATTAGTAGTATCTATATAATATATTAAATATAATGTATCAAATAATATAATAATATATTATCAAAGAGAGAAAAATTCTATGGTGAAGTTGCTATTTTGATTATTTTTTTTAAATCACAATTTTAGCCAATCACAAAGGTTCTTGAAATCCTAGTATGTTACATATGATTTGCAACTAAATCTCATTCATTATTCATTTAATTAATTAATTTTTAACTTCAAATTTGATATTTTAACAAAATCAAAATTAATTCAACTATTGAAATAACTTCATTTATTTCAGTTTATATCAATCCTAACGAACACAACTTCATCTTCTACAACTTCATCTTCAGCAACTTCATCTTATTTACTATCCACATTCATCTTCATCCAAAGCAATCATAAAACGACCACTAACGAATACACGTTTCATCTTCTTCTTTCGCAATCGTGAGTTTTCTTCCCTACAACACTGTTCAATGTTATCTCATTCATTCACGCTCCTCACACAGTTCGTATTGATACCCGATTTGCTAAGGTAATTGGGTTTAATATTTAATGATTTCAAATTCATATATGATTTCAAATTCTTATATGATTTCAATTTGGGAATTATGTTTTGTGATTAATGTTGCAATCTAAAATTGTATTTCAAATTTAATGTTTCCGATTTTACATATGGTAGTTATTAATTAATTTGGAAAAAAGTTATCTTAAATTGGGATTTTGGTTATACGATTGATGTCATTGTCTACACTTGGATTTCAAAATAAAGGATAGCCAATATGTAGGTTAAGATTGCATTTCAATATGGGAAATAGGTTTTATCATTGGTGTTGATTATTTTTTGTGTTATATATTAGCCGATTTCAGATGGATAACTATGTCGACTCTGTTGGGATTGATTTGAACAATGTTCATAACAGTGATTCATCTGATGCTGAATGTAGTCGTGAGGAAGATGTTAACTATGTTGGTTCCAGTGGCCACCAAAGTTCAAATGATGAAGATGAATTTGATAATGGCGATGATGAGGAATCGGTTGGATCGGAAGTGACAAATAGTGATGCAGTTGTAGGTGATAGAGTAGTGAGTGTAACTTTGATTACTTCCGATGAAATTCGTGCTTCGGAATTTGGAACTGTGAGTGAAGCTTATGAATTTTATTATAGGTATAGAAACTGTAAAGGTTTTTCCATTAAGAAAAGTGATGTTAGGCGGAGAGGGCCTGAAGATAGTGAAATAGTAGTAATGAGGCAGTATGTATGTAACAAACACAAATTAAGAGACCAGAAGCGCGCAGATAGGGTAGATAGGAAAAGAGAACACCGACGGATGACATGTACTAGTTGAGAAGCTAGGCTCCGTGTGCATTACTATAACAAAAAGGGAAAATATGTAGTGTCAATTTTTGAAGAGGCTCATGTTGTACCCCAAAATTTACCCTCTCATGTTTCCCAAAGTCTTCTCCCTGCATGGTTGATCACAAACTCTTGCCTAAGAAAAAGGAAAATTTCTGAGTGGTGCTTTACGTACATTTCGATTGGCATTCTGAAAGACCCTTCGATTGGTGTTATGAAGGAGCCTTTCGATTGGCATTCTATCAAGCTCTTCGATTGGCATTCTGAAAGACCTTTCGATTGTCATTCTGTAAGACCCTTCGATTGGCATTCTGAAGGAGCACTTCGATTGGCATTCTGAAAGACCTTTCGATTGTCATTCTGAAAGACCCTTCGATTGGTGTTCTGAAGGAGCATTTCGATTGGCATTCTGAAAGACCCTTCGATTGGTGTTCTGAAGGAGAATTTCGATTGGCAGTATGGATAAGCACTTCGATTGGAATTATGTCAAGGCAGCTTCGACAGGCATGTTAACCATGTCCTTCGATTGGCATGAACAACACCTTTCGATTGGCCTGTTAACAAAACCTTTTCGATTGGAATCCTTCGATTGATATTTGGACAGAGGCCATTCGAAGAACTCCTTCCAGGCCATGTGGAAGAGGCCATCAAAGGGCACTCAGAAAACATGTCCAGGTACACTGAACATGAGGAAATGGCATGTGTCCCTGGCAAATATAAAAATAATTAAATGCTGATTGTGGATTTAATTCCTGAGTTAAAGGCCAGATTCTTGCCTTTTCTGTTCCTAAAGAGCTGATTCGACCAGAGTAACTCTTTTCAAGTCAAGCAGTCGAAGCAGAAGGAGTCCCATCCGAAGGAGGCAAGTCAGGACCAATCAAAGAGCAGGGCTTGAGGGCATTCGAAATTCAAAAATGTCTAGGTTCATTCAAGAGACACGAATGTTTCAAAAAAGGAAATATTTTAATGTGTCTGATTCTTGTCTCATGGCTTTAATGGCCTGTTTAATGGCTGTCTCTTGCCATTACTGCACCCTCACGCCCCTATAAATACAAGGTTCAGCATACATATCCAACACACACGAAAATATACAGAAAAAATAGAGAAAAGAAGCAAGGAGAGCTTGGAGATACGCTGCCAAAAGTCATCAGCACTTCCAGGAAGCCATACCCAGTCCTTGCACCAGCCAGAGCTGCCATCCAGTTGTTTCCAGTGATTTCTGGTAAACAACCGCTAGTCTTCCAAACTATCGAATAAACTTACTGACTGTTATTCAATTTCTCTGGTAACTCGCAGGATCGACTAGATTGATCCTAGGACTTGTTGGTCATTAGGGTAACTCTCATGATCGAACAGGTATTCATGGTTGGTATTTAGAGTGTTGTGTAGGTGTTTGGCTTATTTCGATTTCTCTCTTAAAGATCTAAAGGTGTAATCAAAATATATGTGCGCGAAACTAAATTGCATGAATAAATGTTAATTGTAAAGACATGTAAAATTGCATAAAAGATAAGTAAATGGCTTCGAAACGTAAAATAAAACAGTTAATGTAAAAGATTCGAAATGCGAAGAAAGCGTTTAATGCAAGAAATCTGTAAAATGACTTTAAGTAAAAATAGGTGTTCGAAGGATAAAACTTGAAGATAAAGGCATGAAAAGTATGACAGTTTTCTGAAATGTAAAGTGTTTGAAATGGAAAGAAAGCATTTAAATGTAAGGTATCAATGAAAAGATTTCGAATAAAAAGACTTTAAATGAGAAAACTTGTAAATGGTATTTGGCAGAAAGATAAAGGAAAGTACTGGAAATGATAAAGGGTTTTCATTAAATCATAAACATGTGGTGCTATCATACGTACATTGCTCTTGCATTCGTTTCCCTAGCCATGTGGTAATTTGAATGTTTACTGAGTATTTTTGTACAAACAGATATGACACACGAAATCCTAATACTAAGACTTCTATTTATACTACTTCGACCATAACAGTCTTGCTATAAGATTATTCCACGTTCAGAACATGCAAAACAATGCCTCTCTCTTGTTTCCACGTGTCTCCAAATGCTCCAGCACATAAATTTCAAACTTTGAATGTCCCGCTTGCATTTGAATTTCAAATGTTTTGGTACTTCTCCGCTTCGAACGCACTTCTCAGACACAACCTTGTTGTCATTTCGAGACTTCTTTAGATATGTTCCCATAATTTCCACTCGAAGCTCCAAGCTTTGATATGCTCACTCGAAACACTGCTTCTGCTATTTCAAAACATGACGCTTTGTTTCATTTCAATCGAAACGTTCAATTCACTTGGCTTCTAATAATATTATCAAAATCTTCAGCCAACAAAATGCCCCTTTAAAATATGTATTTCGATTTCTTTGAGAAATACTTATTTTAAACATCTACACAAGATTTTGATGCGACCTTCGAATCATCGTAACATTTAATGCATTTGACTCCAGTCACGTCAATCATAACACTTTTTGGGTTCCTTAACCGCCTGGATCCACTTCACAGTATGGTGCAGTTACAAAACAATGATTATCTTTAATCACGCCTATTACCCATGTTAACTTTACGCCACCTCTTC